AGAAAATTCTCGGGCAAGACAATACAGACTTCCGTCTTAAGATCAGTTCAACTGCCCAGGTCAAACGTTCTAAACATTCGCTCTCTAAATGTAGAGTACCTAGTGTGTCCTCGGGACCCATTGCGCCAAATCACAAGCTTACGGACACTGTGAACTGATAGTTATCGGCCAAAGAGTGCCTATATGCACTATCATTGGCTCGTAAGATTATACTTCGAGCATTCGTATGACACCTTCAAGTCAATTTCTTCAAATGAGTCTTCACAATAACAGTCGACCGTCTACATGCTCTTTTCTGTATGTATCTGTTGTTGAAAAGACGAAACCCGGACACACCTGACGAGGAGACAGAAATTCAAAGGTTTACTGTGATGCCACAGATCAAGACTTGATAGCACAGGTTGACCAGGTTCCAATCGCTTTCCTTCGGAAATCCTTCTTCGAGTCCGTGACTGTCCCAGCTCCCTGATCCTGGTTCCCAATAGATTGGATGGTCTGGAAAGATTTAGCGAAAAAGAGGAAAGAGTTTCCGGTGTGACAGTTGCGTGGCTTGTGCTGCCGCTGATCACAACCGTGAAATGATGGTATTCAAAAGAGGAGTCGTTAGCTTTAGTTCTCACATTTGGACACGACATACACACACCAGAAAGGCTCGACCCTGATGCTCTAGGCGCACGTCCCAATGGGCTTTCAAGCTACCATTGATGTCATTGAGTTCAAGTCCGCTGAAACTGTCACTGATAGTACCGGTTTCGGACACTAGTTCCAATAGCTTCTGCAAGAGCTCTTTGTAGCGATGTACCGGACCAATCGCCTAGTATCATTCTGTGAGATTCGCAAGGAAGACAAGTGGTAAAGAATATACACTTTACCCGCTGTTCTATGAGCTTGCAAACCTCCTTGACATAGGAGATTTCGCTTCGCTGTTGGATCTGATTGAGTTCATCGACAATTATGTCGTGCAGACCATGTCTAGAACTGCCGGGAGCTGAAGCCATGAGGAATTTAGAGATACCAGAAGTTAGTTGACGATTCAAACAGTGTTTATACCCTTCGCAAAGACCTGTTACCAGATTATTAATGCTCCGAATATTAAGGTACTGCCTTGACGAAGTGCCAACGTGCCAACCATAGGTTAATTTAAGCATTTTATAACGTGGACAGCATACAACAGCTAGATTATTAGAATGAAAAACAGCAAAGTGGTTAACAGGCTTCTTTAAAAAATCACATACGAGCAGGTGAAGAACGAAACGATTGCCCTAACTGGGAGCCATGTCATGGATGGCTCCCAATACTTATATGCTTTTAATCGGCTCGGGATGTCGAATATAGAGACGAAACAAGACTTAACTCGCTTAATGGAGAAACGTGAGCCCATGGTCGGTAAATGGCGATGATACGAATCTGATGAACTATACACAAGCGGCCGTACGGAGATAATTATCCCGAGATTTGCTGAACGGAAGAGGATAGCCCACGGACTTCTAGCTGTAAAGTTCTGTATGTCAACGCGTCATCCTTCCCGAACAAGGGTCTCCTGGGTACCAGATATCACTAGACGTATCCAAGTGAACGGTGCTTGTTGATTAGCGATGCCAAGAATTAAGGAAAGAACCATCAAGGGAGGATCCATCCATGTGTCCGTGCTGTTGAATAGGTTGCTGTGAACACGCGTTAAACTGAGACTCAAGACAAGAAGAGTTCCTGAGCCCAATTCCACCCTAGAACCGTCGCCCAAGCTTCCATATGAGTATATCTAGGGGCCGGGATGAGCGTGATGATGGAGGATGAGAAGGAGGTAACGGCACTTGGTCCCATTCGGTCACGGTGGGAGTTCTAGAAAATATTCCGCACAGCCACGATACCGATGCTCTTGTTCTTCGACATCCATTATGGTCGTCCCCAGGTCATCCCGCTCCAGAGATTGTCAAGATTTAACTCAAATCTCGTGGAAATGGGGTAAGACTAAACACTTTGAACCCAATATTGCGGACTCCTGGCTGACTTTGTTTTCGTCGCAGCTTTCAGACAGCGGGAAGAAAAAAATTCTTATTAGCAAGGCAGGGAGCAGGAACATACTTGTGAGTGCATTATGAAGTCCCTACATCACTGTTTGTCACTTCAGAGTAACATTCTTGAGCGCAGGGACGCCGTACATGTCACGCTGAGGGACATGAAGAACGCGCTACAATCAGGAAGGACGCTTTACTTATAGTTAAGGAACCGAGGATCATGTCTGTATTCTTCAAGGGGGTCAGAGTATGTTGCATGTCATCTCCATAAATGTCGCAGCTGCTGAGTTCTTTTCATAGAACATGAAATTGGCATTTTCTCGCGATATCCATGACACTCCGGAGCTCAACTTGTCAAGGCAAAGTCATCATAGCCAACACAAGACCCGTGTCCTGGTATCGAGCGCAGCAATCCGGTTGAAAGACAGTTGTCGCTCGAGGCATACCTTTTCTGTAACGTGCATATCTCAGCCACAAGCTTTAGGCTTACCAAAAGTACATGTCTCGCAAACACATGCACATTCCGCTTCTTTCAATACACAGGCTTAGCAGCCATTCAATGCTAAGCCTGCCGCGCCGCGTGTTTCCTGTCTGCCTCCGTCGTCTACGCTGAAGAAGGATCGATGTAGACTCAGAGACTTCCATACCATACACTATAGGCATCCATATACTGCGGCTTCCCAATGTTCCCAGCATGAAGAATTAAATCGAAGGCTCCGCTTCGACGAGCGAGCGACATGGAAGAGCTTATTCGCATCTCTTGTCAACCACCAGCAACGGTATTTAACCCAAGCTACTTGGCTTCCGTGGGCGAGTTCTCCTTCGACATGCTACAGACACCCGAGATTGTGAACAAGGCATCGTCTCGTGTGACTTCCGCCGTTTATTCAAGGCTCTTTCGGATCCGTTCCCTTGTTATCTTTACTTGCACGTTGCTTTTGGTCTTCGCCTTGTGTTTAGCTCCTGCTATGACATCGTTATTGGGACGTCTAAGGTATGTTTCGTGTTTTTGGTGGAGATTATCGGCTCAACTTACATGGCTAGCTTGCCTCAGAGCGTCTTCAATAAACTTGCTGATAGTTACTGGAAGGTACTAAAGCCGGTAGAGTATGAAATTGCTTTGGGGTCTAGGTAAGGTATCTTTCTATTGCCGCTGACTCCAACTCATAGTTAACTCGACATTCTCAGCGCAATCACAGACGCGATTATGGTGTGTACGCTATCGCAGAGGATGTGATCGTTCTGAATATGAACACAGTTATGGCGCTGCCTCGTCGTCTGGAACAATGATTGGAGAGCTGCGGTTGTACCGGTATTAGGGTTGATTGGTACACATGGTGAGCCTTACACTACTCAAGCTACAAGCTCGGTCCTGATGAGGGCGTGTGCGGCAGCGTCAGCGTTCTTTATTCCTCCAGAGTCGCCAATCTTGGCAGCCAGTGTTGCGCTCAACAATTTATTTCTGACGGGGATGATCGGTATGTCGTTTGTGTCACGTCGAAGCTCATTTGATCTGATAATATTGAAGCCTTCCGAATGATCAAGATGAGCAAGGAGGCTATAGCCCGTGTTAGGACAGAGCCAAGGGCAATTGTTAGAATGGGTATAGCTACGGTGTACGTGACTTCCCTGTCCGATACCTTGACTATAGCACTAACATCAGTATTAGGCTCGAATCTGGCTCGATAAACTCGGTGTATACCACCTTGATGTTCGGTGTATCCATGGCAGAAACGTATATTGGAGGCTTTGGGAAGCTGCTCGAGGTCTCTATGCGTCTTTGGCCATTTGTTTCTGTGAGTAACAGCCTTCCCCAGTATTCATAAGACTAAGGAATTGGATAGAACACCGTATCAGCCATCATTCTCGCTCGTTCCGCGCTTGGGATGAGCTTCAACAATGTCGAAAGCGCGATATCTTCCCTTGGGGGTGTCAAAAGCAAGTCTCCGGTCGACATTGTCCGGACAGTCGGAAAGACGTTGTCTGACACCGGAAGTAGTATCACCAAAGACTTTGCTTCGCTTACCAAGAAGTCTGACGGGGAGCCTTCCTTGTCTCCAGTCAATATTGTTCGAACAGTCGGGCGAACGTTATCTGGTACCAACTCGGAAGGAAAGCCCTCGCCTGCCATCGATATCGTTCGAACGTTGTCTGGCCATGGCAAAGACGGCTCGGTTACCACTACCACTGACCCCTTGTCACCAGTCAATATTGTTCGAACAGTCGGGCGAACGTTGTCAGGTACCAACTCAGGAGAGCACTCGCCTATCGTTCGAACATTGTCTGGTACCGGCAAAGAAGGCTCGGCTACCACTGCCCACTCGGAAGCGAAGCCCTCACTTCCAGTTGATACAATTGTTCGAAGAGTCTCGGGACAGTTTACCAAGAAGTCTGACGAAGAGCCTTCCTTGTCTCCGGTCGATATTGTTCAGACAGTTGGGCGAACGTTGTCTGGTACCAACTCGGAAGGAAAGCCTTCGCCTACGGTCGATATCGTTCGAACGTTGTCTGGTACCGGCAAGGACCTGGACGGCTCGGTTACCACCCACTTGGAAGTGAAGCCCTCACTTCCAGTTGATACTATCGTCCGAAGAGTCTCGGGACGGGTTGGGCAAACGTTGACTGCAACCAACAGACTCGGAAATTATGCGGGTTTCGGAGCGGAGCCGTCGTCTCGTGTAGAAGTGCCCGTGCCCGTGTCCGACACTGGTAATAGTACCCCCAAAGATGGTGATACAAGTAACAACGAGGCAGGGTCAGAACGGAATCCTGGCGATATCGTTAGAACATTGTCCGGCACCACCAAAGACGAAGGGAAACCCTTGGTGCCGAAACATCACTTGCAGGATCCGATTTCCAAAACCACTGATGTGCTGAAGGCTCCCTTAGGGAAGATTTTTCCGCTATGAATCCCATGTACATATATATTCGTTGACAATGAACTTCAAATAGATAATCACTTTTACATACTAGGATAAAAAGTTTCGCTGGGAGCAGGATTTGAACCTACGCGGTGAAACACCAAGTGATAATGTGCAAGCACTCGCACCATTCAAATCACTCGCCTTAACGACTCGGCCATCCCAGCGTTGCCTTCTACCGTCTCTTATCACATTATATCCAGTTAATACGGAAAGGCAAAATGAAGTTGAATTCATTACTTTTACAATGCGTACAATCGTGTGTATGTATATCTCATTTACATGATACATCCCACCCAATCTCCCCTAACCACCCAAAACCACCCAAGAAAAACCAAAAACTAATGCTCCGCCTCCTCCCAAGTCCTCCCAACAGTCCTAGCCAAATCCTCCTCAGTAAGCTTCTTCCCAGACGTAAAATACCCCGCAGCGATCTTTGCGTCAATCTCCACTCTGGAATCCGGTGGGATGAGATGTTCTGGGATATCGTACCGGTTGAGGATGGGTATTCCGGAAGAGACGATTGCGTCGTATTTCATGTCGGACATTGATATCATGTTGTCGATCTGCGGAAGGTGAAGGAGATGAGGAGGTGATGGGGAAAGGAAGGAAAGGGAAGGAACTAACCTTCTTGACACCCAGCCAATGTAGTACGTCGGGCATTAGAGCTTGGAATCTCATATCCTTCACACCAGCGATCAGTTCTGTACTCTTGAAATACCTATCCGCTCTATCACCGTGTCGTTTACGGAGGTTGTATACGAGGTACCTGGGTATGAGTTAGTTCACCGTTCGCTGGTAGAGAAGAGGCATAGGAAGACTTACTTGGTCACTTCACCAAGCGCACGTCCTTCCTTTCTGAAATACACAACGACACCTACACCGCCGTTTTGAGCGGTACGGATACATTCCTCGATTGCGTATACGAGGTAAGGTTTACAGGTGCAGATGTCGGAGCCAAAGACGTCTGAGCCGTTACCTGTGTCAAGGTGTTAGTTCCGATGATATGGAGTACGAGTGAGAGGGAGGAGACCACGTACATTCATCGTGAACTCTTAGTGTCAAGACCTTGCTTTCGTCTCTCACATCTTCGGGTTTACCGAATATGTAGACTGTAAAGTTACCGATAGGTGGAAGGAAGACCTGGAAACGTCATGAATACGGCGAGTGAAGAGAAAGAAGGAAGAAACGCGCACCTTCATATCCGGTCTTGTGATCAACTCTGGGTACATGCCTCCAGTGTCTTCGAACAAGGATCTTCTAAGCAAGGTTTCGGAGCTTAACCGACGCGTCAGCCTTACTAAATACCAAAGCGCTAACAAAAGGAACACTCACATTCCAAACCTCTCCGCGACACCAGGCAACCACCATACAGGTTCAACAGCAGCCTTGCTGACCGCTACTTCGACACCACTGTCCTTCTCGGTATCGATTTCACCAGTAGCGGTCTTCATAGGCGCAGTCTTGATAACGATCTTGCCGTCAATGGTGATCTCACCGCGGCGAACAGCCTCGTTAAGCTCCGAAAGCTTAATGTGTGCACGGGTAACAGCGATAGAAGGCCTTATATCGAGATCTTCACCACCAGCTTCTTTGGATGCTAGTAGACTGTTGGCAGCACGTCAATACATCGATATACAGAAAAAAACGAGACGAAAACATACTTCTTAAACTCCTTCTGCACCAAATGCCCCCACGGATCGAAACTAACAATCTTCCTACCCCCATCAGCCCACCAACCTTCCTGCGGAGGAATATCAATCCCCGCAGGAGGCTCCGTATCCCTCAAATCAGGTTTATAACTCGGATCTAGGGTGCCCATCGCAATAGCCAACGCGCGGTAAACCGAGTAACTCCCGCTGTGTGCGCCAATGGCGTTTCTACGCTTGATGGATCCTGGAAGACGGGATACGATGACGGGTCCGCGTGCGAGAGCCGTGGATGCACCCCATGAGAGGTGGTAAGAGGATTGCGAAGGGAGTGAGTTTGGGGAAGGTGGGTAGGTTGTTAGGAGGATACGGGATGGGTAGAGGGTTTTTTCACGGGCTTTTTCCTTTTCGAGGTCTTTGGATTGGGGTTGGGTGGTTGTACCGGTTGAGGAAGAAGGTGGTGGGGTGGAATGAAGAGTGGTTGCGAGAGATGTGGATTCGAGAGAGCGGGTGTTGGTTGATGGGCTTGATGGGCTTGGGATAGGGATTGGTTGGGTTACTGAGGCAGGTGAGGAGGGTGTACTGGTTATTGAAGAGATCTAGAATGTAATGGTGTCAATACCTGCTCATCGATGCAGATGATGATGACCTTGCCTTGCCCTCTAGAACCTGTTGCTGAAGCTTGAGCGCCTTGAGCTCTTCAAGGATTTGAGTGAGGACTGCTTGATCTGCCATTTCCACTGGTTTTGTTAGAATTCTGACAACGAGAACTTGAAGTTTGAAAACATACGTTGTGGGAGAAGGAAAGAGAAAGAAGGGTCGAGACGGAAACGATACCCCTTTGGCCGCACCCCAAACACGCGGTACGATAGGTAATACAGATAACGAAATCCCTATCTTATCAGAGAATGAGAAGTATATGCTTAATGCTTTTTACCTCTGCTGATATGCTGGGATGGCCGAGTCGTTAAGGCGAGTGATTTGAATTAGCAGATCTTGCTCTCGTATCACTTGGTGTTTCACCGCGTAGGTTCAAATCCTGCTCCCAGCGTGTCTTTTTGTTATTCTTTCAACTACCCGTCTGAATGCTTTTTTTCAAGGATCTAAATGTTAATAACCTTTCCGATGGACAACAAAGTCGTCCACAGCGTATATTCACTGTACAAGTGATAAACTAGCGTAGACGCGACCGCGTGTTCATTTTCGGAACAAAAAACGAGGCGTGGTGGCTGTGTACCCATAATGCCCTTGCTTCTTGCCCTCATTGAACCCACTTTCCCGGACCCATGAGAGCTCTCGATACTCTGCAGGCCGGATACCAGTGCTTTGGGCTATATTCAAGTGCGTTTGAAGTACCTAAAAACTCCCTAGGACAATGACGAGAGCGGAGAACCACCCAATACTACTTCCCGAAATCGAGAACAAAAACCTGGACGGTCTGTCACGACAATGATGCCCTTCGCGCATGTTAGCTTGTCCGTCGTGCCTGCGTATCCAGAGCTCGTCATAACCTTTTCCAGAAATTTTCGAATTCAAACTAGACACAGAAAGCACACAAGACCTCAAGTACGTTCTTGGATCTCCTCACTGTACTATTGCCCCTTTTGTCCAACGGATCTCGTCTTGCTAGAGTCAGAAGATGTCAGTGAAGACAACACGCTACAGGATCTGCTTAATCACACTCAAATCAAACACCAACTTCGACAACTATCTATGTCATGGTTCCGAACTATGTATGCGTACGTTGTCATCCTCTTTTCCAATACTATGCTAGTTGACAATTCGTTACTGAGACACACTAAGCCTAAGCCCGCTTACCTCTCTGCGTGTCCTAAGGTTCGCAGATATCTCAAAGCACGACCTTTCCGCAATCCTGCGCATAGTTCCAACCGCATCATTCACCGGAACGTGTACTTAAAGTGTTCATCAGATCCAACCACTCGAACAGTGAGCTTCGCATACCGGAAGAATCTCTACGTGGAAAGCTGCGGTCCTCGCCGGTTAGGTGGTTTATAGAATTGTAGCAACAGACAAAGGAAGTGAAACACAGTCATACTGGGAAGATTCATCATGAGCTGGTGGGTAATGAGAACGATATCAAAGGGAGTAGCACTGAGTACTTTAATGCTTCGTCGCCTCCGCCGTGTAAAGTGGTTCGGCCTCACGCTCGGTGCAATCAGAGCCTGAGGAGTTGTTCTCTTTATCAAAAAGACCATTTGCCTCTATACCTATAGCAGCGGTATACGTTTCCACGATGTTACAAAATCCTTGCAAGCATTTTGCATAACCAATGCATATGCCATTAATACTTCCCAATGCAGGTACCCCTTCAGTGGAGTTTAGATTGAGAAAAATTGCTCATGTCGGCACAAAACAGTGCGCGCAAAAGGACTGGTATCTTTATTAGCGAGGCAAGTGAGAATCCACTTCACGGTTACCGGGAATCCTATCTCAGATCGTTCCTTCATCACTTGCTACCATCGTGCGGCCTAACTTGTCTGGAGCTTGCTACCACGCTTGTAGCTCTGGAGTTTGCTGACTGTTTTTCTTTCTCGTTCGCGTTCAACAAGGGGTTAAATCATCTATATCTAGATTGCAGAAAACAGTGAAGCATATCAAAAGATCCGACCAGCCTTCAATGGATCATCTGGCGCTCCAGGAGCAACAACTATCCACGGATACTGCCCTGGCGATGCACTCCATTCCGAAACTGTATCAATATCCTCCCTAAGCTTGAACAAGGTGTTCAAAATATTGTCTCCGGAGGCACGAGTCCAGCCTTCTTCGATAGGAAGACGTTCTTCCCGGAAGAATATATCAACGAACCTACATATGATGAACCTTGAGTCAGAAATAAAGGTGGTGATCGCGTGAAAGGGCACTAACTTCTTTGGCGTTTTTCCAGTCTCAGGATCCGCGCAGCCTCCCATGATACACAAGTAGAGAGCGCTCTCGCTACTTCGTATGCTAACTTCTTTGATGGTATTCCTGACGTTGGGATTCCTGGCAATGGAATCGGCCAACCTAGCTTTCTGGACGAGACCAGCAGAAGTGACGTTGTAGTAGTCTACACCCGGGTTGGAGCTTGCGAGCGTTTCGTTGTACAATGTAGCATTGAATATGTAGTTGGAGCCCAGACCGTAGTCGGATCGAGAGAGAGACGCGTCGTGTTCGACTGCGTTGTGTCTGATATTAGACATGGACATCAGCGCACGCTCTTCAGTATGGAAAGAGATAACATACAGTTTGATGTCATCAAGTGTGAATTGACCATCGAATGTATTCGAGGTGAAGGGCGCAATTTTGGCGACAGCGCTGATGAAATCGCTCGGAACATTGAATCCATCTATATAAAATGTAAGCTTCGTTGAAGACTAAGGGAGAATGACCTTTACCTCGTGAGCCTTTCAGTACAGTTTCTATTGTCATGTTCCGTCCATTCCTCGGAATGAATCCGTGATTCGCAAGCCTGCACTCAAGAAGTCAATAACAGTTGTAGTTACAATTTCGGGTGAAGACAAACGAACGTGTTTAACCCGGGACAAGGCCCACGCAAATCGCCATCAGTCGGTGCTCGAAAGCGATGTTTGTGCCAATCTATATCTCCATGAAGATTGGTTGTCGTGAGTGCGATACTGGAGATGAAGGATATGAGGTTCGTAAGTTGCATGTTTCTGGTTTACTTGTTCTGGTTTCTGTAGTCGGGAATGCAGCGTATTTAAATACATCTAACAGAATAATGAAAATACCATACCATTATTCAGCACCCATTGGAGTTCTGTCATGATTCGGGCTTCAAGCCTTCTGCCGAGCTAAGCCGACCCAATTGCGGCCTTAGCCAGGCCCTCTCTAGGTCAGGCCTTACAAAAGGCTTACCATCCAGTGCCTGGTTCGAAGCTTGAAGTCTTTTTCTGAAGCCCGAGCACAAGGCCTGATTCCGAATTTCTCGAAGGTGATTGGTAACGTTGTTGTCGTCGTTGACGAAGAGAAAAGACGCGTCACCCGTGCGCAGTTCAGGTGACATTGGTGTGGTAATATGAATTTGTTCTGCCGGCCGGCAAAGCCTTCTTCGCTCTTTTCCTCCACAATCAACGGAAGTCAGGTGAGTTGTCGAGGTTCTTTACTATCGGGTCATTATTTTGGTATATAATAATATTTCCCAGTCCATTCCGAGGTGTCTCTGACTTCTTTCGCTTTTCACATCCCAGTGGATTCTAGCAAATGTGCCTTCTTGAGCGCTTGAGCGCACGTGGTGGAGACTCGGAGCTCGGAGCGAACTCTGCGCAGTCATTTCCTTCCCTTCGCACAAGAACGACATATTCCTATGGCAGAGGTACGACTAGAATCAATCCAGCTAAAACAATGTCGCTAATTCGTCAAGCTTGTGTGAATATCGGCCTAACATAAACTGCGCCATATCAGATATTCTAAAGTCGTGCTGAACGCGTCGTGGAGACCACAGATGACCTTCGAAGTTCGAACAGGCCGTCGATTTCTTCGAGAATAATGATCCATGTCCAAGCATCTCTGACTATCCCAGAATCAGCATGGTCGAGGAGTATTTTCATGTCGTGGCTCAGCTATTCCTGGAGCCCTCTGATGAGTCAACACTATCAACGGAAATTACTCTACTGCGTGTGGCAATCCCTTTGGGCACATGTTCGTGCTCTGCTTGATGCTTGGATCTTTGGAGCCCAACCCGGAGATTCAGGATATCCCAACGAGCTTGTGGAAGGTGTCGATCTCGAGCAAGTCATTGTCATTTTATGTCTTGCTTTCATGACGTTCTCCCAAGATCTCTCCACCACAGAACAGGTCTGAGATGGAGTTGTGGCGGGAAACCATGGCGATCATGCTGAGGCTCAACGTTCATCTTATCCGCACCGGTCGCACGTTCTTTCTCCCGCCTTTCTGGTACACATTGTCGGGTATCATTGGGAATAATCCTTCGATGCACACACTCTTCATAGCTCATACTTCAGTAGATCACTTGGGAGAGAAGGGGATTGTCACGGAAATAGTGCATTATTTCGCAGAGGAGGTATCCAGAGACGATTCTGAGCTCGATATCTTTCCAATAATCTCTGCACTAGACATCATGGGTTCGAGTCAGGGTAGCATGGTGTATGCATTCCTTGATCAATGCGCGTTTCCACGTGAGGGTCGAAAGAATCAGTTCGGCAACTGCCGATGTACCTTTCCCTTCTACTTCGACGACTTGATAGTTCCATCGGGAGTCTCAAGCTATTTCTACCTCAAGTTTTGGATCCTAACATATATATTGGAGAATCCACCGACACCTCAATGTCCTAGAACGCTTGGACGTCATTGCGTCATCAATGAAGTATTCATTATTCGCATTTCGAGTCTGAGCGAGCTTCCTTATTTGTTATCTAGGTGATGGGGCGGGATCTGAATTAATTGTCTTGGTGTCAAGTCTCCACTCATCGATTTTGGTACCGGAACTTGGGGAGTCGACTGGTCGTTGACAGTTGTCAGAGCTTGCGAAACAGTAAAGGGTCATGATTATGAAGTTACTGTACGAAGGTCTTTGAACGTTCGGACTCGGGACACTAATTTGTTCTACTAGTAATGTTCTGGTTACTTGCTCACGCTGCGGCGAAGACTGATCCTGATGAGCTGCGCATTTATGCTTATCATTTTACACCACTACCAAGCCACAACTTGAAGAACCGTCTCTCGATGACGCTATGCATCATCGTCGATGGGGCTTTTCGAGGTCGTTGTACAAAAGGAACTTGTGGGTGCGGAAGAACCTCCAATATATATTTTTCCTACTATGACCCGAGGTGCTGTCAATGCTCTTTCAACGCCGTCTTCCTATGCACCATCGCGGTTCTCTCGAAATTCAGTGGCTCGAAAGGCTCTGGTAGTCACGTTCTACGTTTCCGGTGTATGTTCAGCACCATGTCATCAGTGAGTCTTCTTCAGCCCAGTATTTATTTTGCTCTTGTCACCTTAGCGCCTCAATCTCAGGCACAAATGCAGAAGACAAGTTGAGCCACCAGACTGGCGAGTGGGTGCTGTTCT